ATATATATATATATATATATATATATATATATATATATATATATATATATGTATATGTAATGTATGTATGTAGGTATTTACGCATATGCGTGGTCGAGTCTCACAATGTTGTATCAACGTTATAATGCTCTAAAGGGGCAACTCCTGTCGTTCGCGAACGGATGATATGCTATTTCGAGTCGTATAATCTCGTGCAACAGTTATACGTGTCCGGGTATCGATTATTTTATTTATGCGCAATGTGTGTGTGTGTATATATATATGCATGTGTGTGTATATATATAATACGTAGGAACCACTCTCATTCTATACAAATATATTTCTTAACATGTATCATTAACATATAATATTTACATATATATGATTCACACAAATTCACGAGTGAAAGGCACATGTTGAAACCACGATAGCTCGACAATAATTTCACTATTAGCCGATTTGTTCCAGCGCTGCAACTACAACCGTAGCTTTCTCTCCTTTTCTCCTATAAATGTTACGTAAATAAATGCTTCGACGGGTTATCGGTTTAAAATACGACGTTGACTAATGCGCACGGATCGAATGTAGTGTAACATGATATGCGACGTTCCGAAAATTCATTCGTCTCGACTTAAAACGCGATCACTTCGCTGCGACGTATACACTCGACTCGCTAGAAACGTAAACGTTTCACAAACTCCACAGGTGGATATGCATCGTTCTAAACAAAAATATACCGAAATTTAAAAAGTCGAACAATTTGCTGAAAGGTCAAAATACTGAAATTTGAATTATGTAACCTACAGTGAAAAACAAGCTTAACGTAGCATTAAATTTAACGATTGTTTAGCTAAGTTCGGTTTAAACTCGAATTTGTGGAACCGGGCCTTAATATATACTTTGTGATGTTATTGTAAAAATGTAGCATAATGTATTCAAAATGTATTGTTTTAAAAAATACTCATAATCTTATTAGGTTATAAATTTTAAACAAAATATTTATTTCTTATTACTATGATAATTTCAGAATAATTGTATTCCCTTCTCAGTAAAACAAGCAGCAATTTTCATGGTAACAGAATGTTGCCGCAATTTTCATGACATTAAACAATTTCTTTTATATACAGGTGAAATTCTTGAACAATATGCCAGAATATGCCTATTTGAGAATCCCTCGAAATACAGTTTTATCGAAATATTGGAGAAGCATACAGTTTTCCCGAAAAATCATAATATCAAATATTTTGGGAAAACTGTATTTTGCAATAAGTTATTTCGTTGTACAGTCGGATGCATTAGTATCTGCTCGCTTGGGTGCAGCAAGAAATATCCAAATAAGTATTAATGCACCTGTTTGCACTGTTTTCGGAGTAATTGTTCCTCCTTAGAATAACTATATAAAAATCGGGAAAATAGTATCTCAATATTCACATTTCAGTATTATGGCTTTTCGGGAAATTGTCCCAGCATGTGAATTTCGAGATTTCGATTTTGTAGGGCAATGCACGTCCATCCTTCCACGCACCACACGAATCGTGAATTTCAGCTACTCTGATAACGATTGATCATTCGTCACACACTCTTTTCTCTGCCCCATTCTCTATCAAAAATATATCTCCTGCTCTCCGATGTTTTGCAATTTGATCGATACTACGAGTCGTCTCGTTTTACATTTCAATTTCCTCTCATCGATTCTATTTACATTATTAATTAATACACTCCTATAACTCGGCCGTACTGCCGATTATCTATACAAACTCAATGTTCTTATTTCGAGAAAAGATACTTTTGCTTCACGGAGTAACGCCTGATTTCTAGAGTGATAATAAGCGAAACGAGATGCCGACCAACTCTGAGCGATTGGTTTCCATGCGACACGTCTGTTCGCCTTTGCCGCGGATATTTATACCCGGGTTAGATTTAACGTTGACACTCATGAAAATGTGCGACGTGTGTACTCCATGATATGAATAAATATAAGAATATTCGTCGAAGGATGCTTCGATATACATCTTCCCGTTCGCACGCATCTGACGTAATACAAATATTAACTGAGTTTCCCTGTAAGATGACGCGAGTTGAAAAAATAATTTTAAACTATGGGACGCGCGCGCTCGTTCAAAATGCACAATTTCTCACCCTCTAAATTTTTTCCAGTGAAGTTTCACTCGAAAAATAGAGTGATCATCGAGTCACTTGAATTCGAGTGATTTTTCATGCATATAAAATAAGATCTCGACTCTGAACCGTCAAGTAAATCAGATGGTGCTTCACCGTCAGAGAAACATATTCATTCTAATCGACTGAAATATTCATTTATATAGAATTTCTAAAGTTGAATGAAGTATTCATTCTTGTGATTTCATATGGCAGTATTTTCACTGTCGCTCGAGGAAAATACTATCATTTTCCATTCGTTTTGAATGAGATACTCCACTCTAAAAAATTTAGAGAGTACGCGATTTGTTTTACTCACGAACTAGTTGCCAGGTAAACTACGCATAAACATCGACAGAGTATACGTCTACGTGTAAACTATGTAAAACATGTGTTGTCGTATCATTCGGATAGATAACGCCGGCCGACAGGTAATTTGTCACATGGAATTCCTGATGTATATCTTGTGTATTTTCATGCGTTAAAATTGTAAAATTTAGAATTTCTCTATCGTTCGCAGTTTTCTCATAATCATCTGAGATTTAACATACCAACAAGTAAAATGTTAGCAGGGTGCCGGCAGATTGGTAGCAAATTCGATGAGAATACTATAGCAGATGCATAGCCATCTGCGTGCGCTAATTTCGTGTTTTGTCGACAAAGCCTGTTGACATAATTTTAACAAATTGACGGCAGAAACCGAGCAGGATTTGCAGTATATTCCATTTAAATGATTACAGAACAATTAATCTTGTTCAGTTACTCTACGGTTAAGCTGCCATAATATTCTGCTAGCAGATCTTGTTATATTTCTATCGACAAAATTTACAGTAGACAATGCATAAAACTTGCTTCTGCAGGTTTGCCTATCTAAGATATTGTATATGCGACATTTCATGTAATTCGGGATTCGATTTAATCCTAAATTTTTTATATTGAAGTACTATCAAGCATTTTCCATAAAAAGTTTCTCCATTTAAGCAATATATTTGTTCATAAAACTTCATTTAGATTAAGATTAATGATTTTTCTTCTTTTATGTAATTTTTCTCCAATCAGGCACAAGCTATGATAAAAACTGATATAAGTTTTATTTTTACAAAAGACATATTATAAGCCAAATTATCCACAGCAAATAAATAACTACAGTAAAGAATCAGTACGCGTTTCGAAAAAATTTAAATCATGTCTGTACAGTGAAAACTAATTTCTTGAAATCTAAAAATTATTATATTTTAAAATTATTTCAAAATCATATCACTGGAAAACTCTGGGTTATGGAAAAAATCTGTTTGCATTTTTAATCTAACGTAAAAAATATTGTATAAATTACATAATTTGACACACACAAATATGATGGACATAACCATGTGACAAAAAAGTTACTTTTTTTATGGACCAGTGTAGTTCGCGTAATATGCTTCTTCGACATCGCAATACTGGTGAAATTATCCCGAAAGCAAGTTCACGTAATGTCGATTATTATTATAAAATTTTCCATCTGCGTGTATTTGAAATATTTACTCGTGCCAACGACAAAACACGATAAGAGCCGATTTTGTGTGCACGTTCTTCCTTTTTCTTTTTTTTTTTTTTTTTTTTTACAGAGTTTACATAGTTTATAACCTGTGCGAGGGAAAGACCGTGTGAATTCCGAAAATTTTCGTGTGGACTTAGTAATTACTATAACTTTCTTTAGCGTGTACGGCCTAACTCTGCTGCGATAAAAACTAAGAGTAATTTACGTCACTTGCGAACTATAATATGTAGTTACATTATTTGCATTTTGTCTGAGTTTTCGCGATGCTTGGTGTACGTAGAGTCCAAGAGATTGCACGATTAGACCGTGTCGGTATTTAGAAGCGAGCAACAGAATTCACATCCACCACTGTTCATCGGCAAGTTAAGTAATCCACATTTCTGGGAATACGCGAGAAAATCGTTCACGAACAGAGTTTAAAAGCTGTTTCTCGCTCTGACCAATCTAACACAGCCTCATCTTCAATACGTGCTATCGAGCGGATTACGATAGTCAAGAGTTTAGAAAAAACCGTATGCGTGTATGGTTCCAACACACAATACATCTCGATTCTTTTCCTACAAGCTGCTTTGTCAGTTGACCCATTGACAGAGACGTTACACGCAAAAGCTATTATTATTTTACCTGTAGGATTACCAGAAGAAGGAACAAGCAACAGTCGAACAATGGTTTGTTCGTATACCCGTTCATTGTAATTGATAATGTTAAGTCGGCTCCATGCGACATGGCGAATGTAAACGTTGGCAAGTGCAAATCCTAACGTTGGCTATAACATGTATGTGTATCTTTCGGCTTTTTGATAAGTTCCTAGAGATTTCTACAAAAAATTAAATCCAACATTTTTGTAATTAGGCATAATTTTACATTTTCCATTTTTTCGGTCATCTGCCATCGAGAAGAACGGTAAAATTATTGAATAAAGTTAAGCCCAGAGTTGTAGAAATATCAATTAAATTTTTCTCGATTAATGGCCGAATAAAACAAATAAGTTGCAATTAATTGACGGTTGATATGTATGAGCATAAATTTGCTTGAATAACCGTTAATGAATTTGCTAAGCTCAATCGTTAATGGAATGATCTTTGATTGCCTTCGCTCATGTCGATCGCCAATTGAACGATCTTTAATTGAATTCGTTGAAATGAATTGTCGATTAAGTATTCTTCAATTAAATTGGCTTATATCAATCGTCCATTGATTTAAAAAAAGTAACTAATTACTCGCAACTAATAAGACGACTTTTAATTTTTCATCGAAATACCTACGAACTTATCGAGCAGTTCAATACTTCAATATAAATTTTTATATTACATTTAATAATATTTACAATACATTTGCCGTCTGGGGCCGACTTGATTTTTCATGATCGCTTCTAACGTACCTATCGTTTACATGATTAATTATCCAACAGATCATTGAGAGTATAATCGTTTCTTCGTATTTTCAGGGAGAAATAAAGATCTGCGCAAATACCACTTTGTTTTTTTTTCCCTTGAGGTATCAATGATCGATGGATCATACCTACAGCTCGCGGTTGAAATCAGAGATATGGCGGCATATATCACCCCTTCACTAATGCTACATGACACAGACACACGCCTCTACGACGCAAACGCTCGTCGTCGCCTCGACTTAATTATTCTACGGGATAAGTACAAACGTTAGAGAAACAGATTAAATCTGGTATTCTACAAAAGGCTTCAAATGTAGAACCTCGTAAGATAAAGCACGGGTGTTGCGCGTAGCTCGTGTTTGCGATACGCATTCGAAAAATTCGAAACTAGTCTTTTGTTCTCGATCACAGCCACTGAATAGCAACAGAAATACTTGCAGCATTTTCACAAGCCTCTTGCATACTTTCTACTACAACCTCTCTTTGTTGTCTTTCGTGGGCGCCCGACGACGAGTAAAATTCGCTCGAATTTAGTGTCCGTTAATGCGTGAAAACAATGCAACGGCAACGGCCGCATGTAATTATCGCGTGTTAGACAAGTCGCTAGCAGAGAGAAATATCTGTGCGGAACCATATCAGAGTGTTAATGTGAAACACAGTGCCGACACGACCACACACTCCTTGACACTTCACATGGGAGACTCTGACCCGATATCTCGCTATCCCTATTCCCGCCGTAAGCAGGAAGCGGTTCATTAGTAACAAAAATAGGGTAAACAGTATCATGACGCGTCACTTTGCAAACGGATCGAAATGAGATTATTACTCGGAAAATTAATATTTATCGATCAGCAATTTTTACTTGGATGCAGAATGTATGTATATAATACTATTTAACACGTTCCGTGCCGGATTAATTTTATGTGACTTGTTATTCACGTCGCATGAGTCATCGATGACCCGCATGTGTCGTGTTATATTTCTTAAATAACATGTGTCTCATAATACTCATAAGCAGAGTTGAGAAATAACTAGCTAACCAATTAAAAGTTATGTTGAAAAATTAATTTAAACTAGTTTTTACCTTTTATTAAACTTATTTTAAAATTTAATATCTTTAACTTTATTTCATATAAGTTAAAATCATAATACTAATAACCAATGCTAAAATCATCGCGCTAAAATCATCAATGCTAAAATTCTGCTTACACGCAGAATACGGAAAATAAAAAATGATACCAACATGTCTGTTTTTCTGAGCGACAGTGTGCTTCTCTTGTATCAGCACAAAACAGTCGTTTATTTCTTTTCATAAAAGATTAGATTGAAAACTCCCTTTTCATTATTTCACACAAATTTAGTTTACAATTAAAAAGTTAATTATACGAAAAACACATATATATGTATATATTATTTTACATAATTAACTTTTAATTTTACTAAGTTGACTTAATCTTTTAATTTAGTTTTTGTTTATGTGACTTTTAACTTAACCAAGTTAATAGTATAAGTCCATTAACTTTAAACTTAATTTAAAAAATTAACTCGCTCAGTTCTGCTTATAAGAGTATTTCAGGGTTACATTTTCGATCAAAATGGCCTGAACTCAAAATTCGGCGTGGATCACCGGCGACACGGAACGTGTTAAGATTGATTTTCACTATCCGTCTGAACGGCGGTAGACAGGAATCTGTCGAACTTTCGTTAAAACATTCTTCAATGTTTTTATATTGGAATATCACAGTGTCCGTTACCGTCACGCCTCGATTATTCCAATCCAAAAACGTTGAAGAATTTTTTTTAACAGAGAACTGACAAACTTCTGTCTGCCGCCATCTAGACGGATAGAGAGAGACAACCTTTAATATACCAAAAAGAGATGTCCGTGAACAAAGAATTACGACGATACGCACGTATGCTAAAACATTAGCCTTCATTACGAGACAAGAGCCAAGAGGCTCGCTCAAGGTAACCTCCTATGATATATTTCCTCCGTCCTTCCGTGTCCATAATCACGCTGTCGTGCGGCAATAGCCGTACTGTTTGCCCCATTATAAACCGCCGCGTTTAGCAATTAAAATCTTCCTCTTTTATCGTCGATACACTCTATAAATTTATCAGCGATCGCTATCTCTACATGTCCTCGCGTCTACACTCGATACCTTTAAATCGCGCGTACAAACGTGCCGCTTCTCGATTCCAGATAATAATTCGTTCTCGTGTTAAAATATCTCGTCAAATTTGTATCGGGAAGTAAAGCCGCGCTTTACATACTATACTTTCTAATATCACCGTGGTAAGAAATTAACCTATTGTTAAAATAACTTTTTTTTTCTATATGTACATGTACGTACGTATGTACAACATGCACTGAGAGGAAAATATAGTTGCCTTTGGCGTCAACTATATGCTTTCGTGATTTTAACCACAAAAATAATTAGAAAAACCATTGTTTTAGTACGGTTACCTACTGCTAATTGAATAAACTATTGTTATTAGAACGATTGTTCGTCTAATTATTTTTCTAGTTAAAATTACAAAAAAGTATGGTAGACGCCGAAGGCAACTATATTTTTCTCTCAGTGTGGGCGCGTGCGTGAGTGCATGCGTGCGAGTGCGCGTCGCATAACACACATAGACAGATTTTTTTTTTTCCTTTTATAGCGAGCTTGCTCCGTTCCTTTTACTATCCATACTTTAATATATGTTCGTTGTACTGAATCAGATTAATTTCTTACCTGAAAATTTCAACTCTACCTTGACGAGTACGGATTACCAAACATTATACAGAGAATCCGAAAAGAAATTATGATTTGAGAGACAATCAATTGCTTTTCTGGAAATTATAAAATTATTCGAAATTATTACGTTTACGATTATACACGAGTCGTTTGAAAGTTTGCGCTGTCTCTGTATTAGGACGCAAGCCTTTCAAATGATCCACGTATATAATCGTATAAAATGACTAAACAGAACTGGCAAAGAAGCTATCGAGCTTCGTGTTTCTCGCCATGAGAAGTCCATTGTAAAAACGAAAAGAACGATGAAAAAAATAATCGCATCTATTTCTTAAAATTTCGATCTAACGTAAAGGATAGGAAACACTCATCTAACTTGTTCACGATGTCCTTCTCGTATTATGGACAAATAGCTCTCTCTCTCTCTCTCTCCCTTTACAATCAAAACGCCACCTAAACGCCATCATTACCTCGAATTATTGTACTGTGCGTTCCTACCCATGGTATTTACAAAAATATGCGTTACATAAGTACTGGAAAGTACCTATATCGTCGTGTAGCGGCACTTGATCAGCATTACCTTGCACATCAATCGCGATTGCATTCGACGCTATATACGGGATGTTCATTATTTGAGGAAAAAGTTTCCGAACGAAAGTTTTTCTTCAAATTATCGCAAGAGTCTCAAAAATCGTACGAACTGTTACGATGAACATCCTGTATACTCGCACGAGATTTATATTCATTTATTATTAACTGTATATGACTTCCATATTTACTTAGTCGGGCTTATAGATCGGTATCTTTGGAATAAATTCAATTAAGAGAACCTGCAAGAAGAAAGATGCAATCAGCATTATTGATTGTATGTTTATGTAAGCTTATATATCATATATGTAAGCTTATATATCATATGTCTATGTTATAGTTAAAGCTTATAGTATGGACGTTCCTAGAATTGAGTGATCAATATGCAGGATAACCAGGCATTTTGGTTAAAACCCGAAATAGTTTCGGGCTTTTGACTGGTGTATTTTTAGTTAGTGACTAACATAGCTGGTTACAGTTAGAAACTACTAAAAGATTACGGTAAAACTCTTGTTTAGGGGAGGCAACGACAATATCTTTACATTGTAAATATTTAATAAAGATAATCGCCTTGAGTAACTTTCAGCAATCAGATCAGGTCTTGAGTAACTCTTACCCACCGCTCGTTATTTATTAACAAAAGAAGTTTCTTAAGTAGAACATAATTTTTCAATATCACATGCATTTAATAAGTGTCAAAAAGGGGCTTCGTTCCCAACCCCGCTAAGTCTAACCTAACCTTACCCTACCTACAATATTGTGAGAACGTTACTTGTCACAATGTACGTGCATAAATGTACATTTTTCAACAATCAACATTGTCTCAATACTGTAAGCTAGGGTTATGTTAGATTTTCAGCGGGATAAGGAATGAAGTCCTCCCCACCCCACGGATATACTTTTTAATCTTTTTTGTTACAACACATTCATATTTTTAGCTTCTAACTTTGCCATGTTAGTCATACTCCTAGGATTGACTAAAAACATACCAGTCAAAAATCGAGACAAAAACTATTTCAGGCTTTAAGCAAAACAATTGAATGTTTTGATCAGTCGATCCTAGGAGCGCCCGCGCTACAGACTATAACATATACATATAATCTAAGGCTTTAATAATTAAATAAATCCTTACATATTCCATCATGGAGGAGCTGTCACACCTTTGTTTCGCCAATCTCCAATGTAACCCGAGTTTATGGTAGAGCCTACTATTTTCCCATTCTAATAATTTGTTTAACGAATGTTGTGTCTACAAACACAAACAGAAACATTAATAAGTATGCGTTAAACAATGTTTTATAATTACTATACAATAGCCTTTCCTAACCTCTAGTCCATAAGTGAATTTACATGTTAGTTGAATCTATCTTTTTAAAGCCAAAGAAATGATAGTAGCCTGATCTAATTTAGCTCAGATATTTTTAGATAAACAGGCTCTTGCATGTTTACAAGATTGGGTAAGTTAATTTATTTTAAAACTTAATTAAATTTAAGAATAATTATGAAATTAACTCAGTTAAGTCAGCCCAGATAGAACAAAATCTTCAGAGAATGTTCTGGGATGTTCTTAGGAATATCCTTAGAACGTTTTTAGAACATCCTTTGAAGATTTGTGCTGTACAAGAGAAGTTAATTATACAAAGTAATACATATATCTTTTGCACAATTAAGTTTTTAATTATAGACTAGGTTTATATGATGCAAGATGTAGTGTGTGAGAAATTTTAATACAAAGAACAATTAAAAATAGATTACTTTAGAAAAATATAAATATTTCAGTCAAATATTCGACTTTTTTCAGTGTAGTTTAACAATTTATATATATATATATATATATATATATATATATATATACACATAATTAATATCCACACTATTCTTTACCCAGAAAGAACGATTTAGTTGAATCAAACAAATACTTCTTTGGAATGGAACAAATTTTTTGATTGATCGAACAAAGTTTTGTTTGATGCAACAAAAATATTTGCGGCGTAGTTCCAATGAAATATTTTTGTTATATCAACCAAAAAATTTGTTTGAGCCATTCTAAAGAAGCGTTTAGTTGTTTCAACAAATTGTTCTCTCTGTGTACAAACGATCTCGCTTTTGAGGATTAAAACATAGTATCGCGTAATTGTAACGCCCGTGACTCGTTTAATTTAATTTCTAGTTAACCCAACCCTGTACACTTGCTAATAAAAAAAAAAATAACCGAAAGTCACTGTTATGGAATACTAGGGCGAATTTCTTATCAAAATGAAAATTATGAAAATTATGAAAATTAGTCTTACCCTCTTGCTCAAACAAATGACAGGCCACAGAGAACATCCTAGAGTACAGCAGCAGCATACGCAACCGCAGAACAACCACTTAACATTAACAGGCAAAGTCTTTTTTAACACACTGTTTATTCTCATAACAGTTGCTTTGAATTCTTCTGGAGCTACGCGGGACACGAGGCCATTAGGAAACTCCGATTCGAAACGATTGCTGAGACCAAATCTGAAGCAGAAAAATTTAATAGGTCAATAAAACTTCTATATTGTGTGACAATAATTAAATTTCAACATATCGTTATGATAAATAGAACCAAACCCATGAGGAAAATTTTGAAATCTTTGAATTAAAAATCTTTAGGAATCTTTGAAAAAATAAAAAAAACACACTTATATATTTGTTTATAATTAAAAATATTCGTTTCGCACAAACGTGTATACGCGCGGATAATTTTATAAGCACACATTTGACGTTGTCTTTTTTCGATCTATCGATGCAAAACTACTCGCGCAGTTTCAAAAGCCGTATACATGTAATTCTTTAAGAAAACCAAAAACGAAGCAAAAATAAATCCCACACCTCTGAATGCATATTTGTTACTGAAGTAAAAAATCAGTGCGCTCAAAGTGCTGTCAAACAACAACAATAACAACATAGCGTCACGCTGAAACAAGAAAATTGCCGGAGGCCTTTGTTCTTCCTTTGATGCCAGAACTACCCGATCCGGCAACGGCGCGACCGCTGCAACAAAGAAACATTGCCAGCGACGACCGAAACTTACACCGTCATATTGCCAGCTCCGCGGATTACGATCGGATCCGGCACCATGGCGACGTAGTGCTCCTCCAAGTTCTGCTCATTCTCCTCCTCTTCCTCGTAGATCGCGTCGAAATCAGCCATCGTTCACCACGCTGGTAATAGGGCCACCTCGTCGTCGTCGCTACCTGCTCCCTTCGGCGCGATCGCCAATACGTGTTTATCGCGTAGCAACACGAGGTCGTGTTTGCAGCGCGTCCCCCGTCGTCTCTTGCCAGGGTGACGACGCGCTACGCTCTCGCGCGCTCACATCCCCGCGACAACTTTCCGACTGCTCGTAGTCATGCTGCGGCTGCAATTGTCGCGGATCGCCACGGTCATTTCCGCGGCTGCACGAAGAACGCTAGGCCAGCTGTTAGGCAAGCTGCCGCTCCACGACGACGACGACGACGACAAGAGAACAATCGCTATGTCGTCAGTACGCCAGCGCGCGCGTACGCACGTATGTCGCCTCTCTTCGTCCGCTTCACCGTACAACACGCAGACCGAGCATGCACGACGCGCACTGCGGATGCGAGCAACGCTCACAGCTCATCAATTTTTTCCTCGCTATGATTTCAGGTCTACCAACCAGAGTGATACCAACACGCGTATTCATGTGGCTGTCAGCATTGCTTTGAGAGCTCGCACGATACGGTTCATTAAGCCCATTCTACAATTGCGTAAGCGTAGTCGTGATCGTAAGAGTCAACCAATTCGAATGTTTTATTTACTGATTGCTTTATTCTGATTGGTGTCGTAATCACATACAACCACTTACAACCACGTTCACGCAATTGTAGAATGGGCTTTAGGTATATACAGTACGTGATATTACAACCGTTCATTGAGCACTCAGTAAATTCTCGCATTCGATTGGCATGTTCGTTTAGATCTGAAAATATGTACCAATCAGATGCAAGAGCTCATCGAGTGCTCAGTGAACTCTTGCATCTGATTGGCTGCGCTCAGAAAACATAGCTGATCAGTGAGCAGTTAGTGATTATTGGTCCTTACTGTTAGATGCCTAACTTTAGACCAATTACGTTGACTAATTATTCAACCGTTGTGTAACCGTTGTGTCTCCTGAACGCACCCATTGAAATATTCCTTTAGATCTAAAAATGTATGCCAGTGTCAGATCCAAGAACTCACTGAGCTCTCAGTGAACGGTCGTGCTTCTGGATGCACATATTAATTTACTTTTTCTCGAGTGTAGAATAGTGCAGGAAAGTGTAGATAAATGCGCCATCTTGAGGCTCCCGATATGCATTTTCTGAGAGCTAGAATCTTGAGAGCGAAGCTTGTCTTCAACTACCCTGATCACAGCTAAAGGCGATCACACACAAATTCCGTAAGAACTTAAAACGTAAGCGTAGAGAAATCGACTAATCCCAATCGAACACTCGGCTTTCCGTAACCCCTTCATTATTACGAAGAGCCGAATACTCGATTGGGATTGGTCGATTTCCTTACGCTTACGATTTAAGTTCGTACGGAATTTTGTGTGTGATGACCTTAACCGCTATACAATCGCAGTGTTGGTTGTGTCCATAGACATAATATATCTAGACCGAGCGTTTGCCTTTATTTGAGGAGTGGCGATAAGAGGCACATAGAAAAGGATGTATTGTGTTTTGATATCTTGCGTTCTCTCTCATTCGCGCATGTGTATAAACGTATGCGTAAGAAAGATTGTGTTACAGAGATGCGCGAATGAGAGAGAACGCAGGATCTAAAAACTAGAGAGCTTATAATCAGAGTCGTCAACTTGTCATGTGACCGACTGCGCACTGATTAGTTCAGGACGCGTGGAGCTCCATGATCCTGAAAGATATATGCAAGTTCAAATAATTATATATAACACATGTAAATACTTATCAAACGAAAAAAGATACGACATAGCTTTAAAATCCTTACCTATTTAATCTTTACGTCCTTCCTGTCACTGTCACTCTAATCTTTCTCTCAGAATCATAGAGCTGCACGCGCCCTGAGCCAATAGTTTTAATAGTTCCAGAGTTCTTAATAAGTTAAACAAATAATTCTGCCTATTAAAGCAGAAGAAATGAATTCTCAGCCAAATTGATATATCAGATATCCCAAGAAGAAAATAATTGATACCCCAAGAAGAGAAAATATTCATACTTAGAGCATCGTAGCATATTGTGGAAGATGCCGATGATTGCCCAGTAAGCAAATTGGTAGCGGAGTGCGCGCAGATTGGCAGCAAATTTGATCAGAATTCCAAAACCAAAACCATAGCCATCTGTGTCCGCATTCAGCTCATATTTTGACGTCAAAGTCTGCTGACGTCAAAGTCAGCTGACAGGAAATGCGGACAGACTAACAGTACAAAGATCCTATTACATAGCAAGGTCTATTCGGTTTCTGTTGCCAATCTGCTGTTAGATCGTTACAGGGTTTGTTTGATATCTACCGCCAATCTACTCGGATAGTCAATAAGCTTTGTCACATTTCTAGCGGCAGTTTGGTAACATAATCAGATATAACAAATCCTATGTTGGATTTGCTGCTTTTCTGTTATAAAAAATTTGTAGCAGGCTCTGCTTAAAATCTGTTTGTGTAAGTTTGGCTATCTGAGTGAGAAACACTAACAAAGAAAGCCCGCTGTCCCATTCCGATTCGAATACCCCTTTGATATGTTATAAAGTATGGAAAAATAAGACATACATATTTTTTTTATCGGCGGAAAAACATGTCTAGGAGATGAAAGTCCTGAAATTGAGGATATATAATCGATTTATACCTCCATACAAAAATCTTATATAAAATATGTCTTGCAACTCTCATTAAAAAAAATACATTTTAGCGTTCGTTTCATTCAAATCTGACAACGGCTTCAATAGGAAGCTATGAAATATGTCAATTACCCCCAACTTCGGAGCTTGATTTCACTCTCTGGTCTTTAATTATATTTCCTAAATTCAATTTGTTAACTGAACACTTTGATTCTCTTTGTTTATATTAATCGTGATTTGAACAGTTTTAAATTGATGTCATCGAAATCAATTGAGCAGACTCAATATAGCGATCAGGTAAGCAAAAGTTTAGCTTCACAAAATTTGATGAAATTTTCCTAATACATAAAATCAATTTTCTCCAATTCTCATGAAAGAAGCGGGTTATATCATTGTATTACGTTGCACTATTTAGCTTCGCTGTCGTAATAGTGACGCCAGTAGTGCGCGAAAATAGATATGAAATCGGTCGAGCTAACTCAGTGGCGAAGTGGCAACGAGTATTTTTGATACGACTGAATTGCAAGATAGAGTTTTGAATTTACTCCTTGCTTGAGAGGAATTTCAAGCAATCTTCGAGATAAGAATCTGTTTTACGATTAACACTTTTATTAATAAGTGTTTTACAATTAAATGCTTGCAATAATAATATAATACAATATAATATTGGCTTGTTTGACAAGTTCGACAAGTGATAATTACGATAAATTAAAAATTGACACTTCTATAGTTACTATTATAGGTACTATTATCTTTTTAATAATACATTTTTTCAATGGCAAAAAACGAGAAAAAGATAGAGTTATGCCTAACTATAAAAATATTGGCTTTGAATTGTTCATAAAAATTCCTACGAACTGATTGAGAATAAATCAGTAGTATATATGTAAAAAATTGAGGAAAAACCTAACATTGATTGCTATGTTATTTTAATAATTATTATACTATCATATTATGATGCTATTATATATCACATTGTCAACTCTATTACTTATCATACATAGTTTCAACTATTATATATTATAATGTTTTATATATGTACTACTGATTTTTCCAAACAATTGAAAGCCAATATTTTTATAGTCAGACATAACTCTATATTTTTCTCGTTTTCTTGCTACTAAACAAAACGACCAGTGCATTATTAAAAAAATAATAATACCTAACTATAAAAATATCAATTTTGAATTTACCGTAATATTTTTGTAGCAGTTCGAAATTTTTCTGTTACTTCTCCATTTAATCGGCTATTTGGCATATTTATGTGTACGCGAGTTCATGGTGCTACTGTGAATCGCATGCGTAGTACTGACTGGCGTACTTGTGCATGCAAATCGTTGGTGCGTGCAAAAGTGCCCGAGTTATTACGTGGCTTAAGGCACATTTCAATCAGAGTGCAACGGCCGCTCGACTGGAAACTGCGGAACAGCCCGCGACATAATAGAATGATTGCTAATCAATTTGATGTAACAGTTGAGATTAATAAAAACAGCGACACGTTTTCTGTGAACGCGAATGCGGATTAACTCGCTGCGCGTTTCGCAAAGCCAAGAGCCAAATACCACTCGTGCAACGACAATATGCAATATGCAATAAACTACCTCTCTTGTGTTTCTCAAAGCGTGGCATGAAGAAACGCTCGACTAGGCTTGGAGAAGTCATCATTCGTATTCAAGCTCATACAACAAATTTTGACAAATATTTCGAGCAGTACTTTGCTAGTAATACTCCATAAATTATTTTCCATTTCTTTAATAATTCTGAAATTTGTGTATAATTTCGGTATATCAGTCCTTAATATTATCTTCATTAAAACTTTAATTTTAGTTTACAAATTAAATACAATTAAAAATAGCACAAAGAAGGAACACGTATAAACATATAAATATGTTAACTTTGGCTTCATCTTTCATCTTTCATGTCGGTGTTTTTTCTCTACTTATCTCATGCGCGACTTCTCGTATAAATGTTATTCCCGTGTATAAATAGTGTTCGAAATTTCTAAAGCGCGCATTCAACTGCCGAGTAATGCATCAGTAACATTTATTGCTGTGACCACGGCATTTCCATCGAATCCAAAAATACTTAGGCGGAAGAGGCGTCTAATAGATCCGCGATGCGCGGCTCGAGCTGTACAAAGTAAATTTGGCAGAGCTAGAAATAGCGGCGTTGCCCACTCAGGAAGTAGTAATGACGATCGATTATTTTTACGAGCCAACCCTGACAAGTAGAAAAGGCGTTAGGGCTAACCTGCGAACGTTCTTTTTTTTACCTGGTCGTGCGAATAGTTTCTCCGGGCCGTGTTATGCCTGACTGACTAAATCATAAATAGCAGCGAGGCGCGTTAATATTCTCTAGTTCACCATGGATTACCGCAGCGCGAGGACTTTCGCGTTTTTCCTGATCGCCTTGACGTCGTGCGGAGATGTCCGTCCTCGGTCGCGAGCCGAAAACTACGACGCGAGAAAGATCGCTAGCTACATTAATAAATTCCCATTCAAGTACGAATCTCCTTTATCCAGCAGTGAGTATGAGCAGAGCTCTTTTCCGATAACTTGCGAATGCGGTTGTGATAAATGATATCTTCATTGTTCGTTGGACGTACGCACAAAATGCACGACCTATGCCTATGGAGAAAATATTGTAGTAAAAATTACAATAAAATTTATGCAATCTTGGACTTACAGTAATTATGACTAAAATTACTATATATTTATTTGAAAATATAATGCGCGTTTTTGTACTAAAAAATAATTAACTTATTTAAATGGATGATTATTTGAATATTTTCTATATTATAGGCAAAAAATTGGTCGTTTTAACGCGAAATTAAAACAATTTGAGGAAAAAACATTGTGAAAAAAGAAATATTATTTTAATGTAAATCTTATTACAATATCTTCTTGAATGTTTTGATTTATTTTAAAATTGATTATACAATTGAAGAAAAAATATAAAAAAATAAAAAATGTTTATTTAATAGGTACTAATAACATATTTATTTATACTAATAAATAAATAAAAATATATATGTATGCTGAGGAAATTTTTTTCCAAATAAGAAAATATACGTTTTGTTAAAACTATAATTTTTCATAAAAGTAATTGTTCATTCTATACTTTTTTTATTTTATAAATGAAATAATTTAGATTTAAATAAATACGTTATTAGCACCAAAACCAAATAAAGATTTTTATCTTTAAAATATTTTTTCTCAGTGTACAATAACCCTATACGGAAAAATATTGTAACAAAAATTACGTTAATTTACTGAGATTTTCTCTTTTCATATTTTTATTCTCGCGTATTTTTTGTAAGAGAGTCTACTGTTTTCTTTTGCGAATATTTTATTTTTATCGTCGCAAAGCCAAGTACACAGAGAGGATAGCGGGCGGAAGTTACGCGAACGAAGGTCAATTTCCGTTTATGGCCGTCGTACATCGGTTGATCGACGGCAGGAGGGTGGCACAATGCGGCGGCACCATCATATCGGAAAGATGGGTTCTGACTGCGGGCCATTGCGTCGCGAAGCGCCCGAGACGGTTCTTCGTGATATTCGGGATCGTTGACAAAACCGGGATCGGTTACGACGTCAATAAGGGGCCCGGAGTTGCGATGATAACAACGTCGGCCTTGGTGCACCCCAACCACTTCTTCAGCAGGAACGACATTGGATTGTTGCATATGCCACGAGATATTCCATTTTCAGGTAAAAAGAGTTCGCCAATGCCTCAAGTCGATCGCGCTAATAAATATGTCGATGATGGAAGGCTTGAAACATATGTTGTAAATCGAAGCAAGAGATTCGAGAAGCGGGAGTGATGCTCCGTATTACAGAAGGAGAGAAAAGGATCTCGAATCGTCCAAAGTTGAAGTTTGTAATCAGTTTTTACCTATCAGGTCCAGCTTATGATCGCTGAAGACAAAACGGCGAAGAGTTCCCTGCGTGTTTCAGACAAAATTCAACCGATACATTTGGCCGGTCCGAAGGAGATGAAAGTCATGACCAATGCTACCGCTTACGTGGTCGGTTGGGGTCGTGATGGTTACGGTTTCACGGGTACCAAAAGACTGAAGTATGCCTTAATGCCATTGATCTCGAAACGAAAGTGCACCGCGTATTGGCGAGTGGACTACAGAAATATATGCACAATACCAGGACTCGGGAAAAACGCCTGTCAGGTATGGTGCGCATGTCGTGTAAACTCTTGGTGGTGGTTAGAAGTTTCGTACACAAATTGCTGCAACCGTAGTCGTAAAAGAAAATTCACATCTCGAAAGCAGAAAAGCAGAAGCCAATAAGAATTGCGCTGGTAAAAAAGCAGAAGCTATTGACTACCAGTGCGAGTTGTGATTGGCTTCTACCTTTTTACTTTGTTTTTCTAAGATATGAATTCTCTTTAAGACATAAACTTTAGCTAAAGTATCGATTAGGATATTACTTTACGTTTTATACTTCGGAAATAATACGTATCTTTAAACCAGATCACTTGTGCTGTACATCATTCTTCAAGATCTAAACTACTAATTTAAGCAAAAATGAAAATCCCAATTTTTTGATCGTTTAAGGTGGTCTAATCCGCATCAGACAGTTGGAGATTGAGTTTTGCGAATTAAAGATTAAAACGTGTATTTATTTTTATTTTTTAATTTATTTCTTTTTATACTGTTTAGAAAATTAATCCTTTAGTACAACATACATAATTAGTAGTTGATTACATAATAATGAAACATAATCAATTGGTCACATTAAAATGAAGTAAGATCAAGATCGGTTAACTCGTTCGATTCTAATCTCTAAATTATAATTTATAATTTAAATGAAATTTAAATAGATTTTAGAGAACTTATTAATTGCTACTTTTTAAATAAATTTATTCATTGTATTTCGATGTATCCTCTTCCTCCCCCAGGGCGATAGTGGAGGACCTCTGTTTATTATGAGGAACGATCAACCACTGCAAATTGGCATCGTGAGCTACGGAGACGCGCATTGTCCGAGTGGTAAACCCGGAGTATATACTAGAGTAGCAGCGTTTGCAGAATGGATACAAGATGTCACTGGAGTAGAATTGTAGAGAGATTTGTTAATAAACAAATATTACAATACGAAGAGATACTGTATATTCTTTCAAATATTATATATATATATATATATATATATATATATATATATATATATATATATTCTTTCAATATTATAATACGAAGAGATACTATATTTTCGACTGCGATTGCATCCCCTGGTAAAAAAAGTTTATAGAGAACGATAGAATAAAATAATCATTTTTTATCGTTTTGAATATGGATTTTGGTTTGTGAATTTACAAAATATGAATAGTATTCTATCGTATACAATCATGTACAATAGAATATTCTATCGTATACGATAGAATACAATAGATAGCGATAGAATTTCTATCGTTAGTTTCCTATAGAATATAAAATCGTGTTTAACCAGATAAAATACAATAGGATTTATATCTGAACTTGTGAGCGAGAACGATACAGCTTAAAGAAAACGATTCAAAATAATAGCGTTATCAATTTGAATCGTTTTCTTTAAACTGTATCGTTCTCGCTCGCTCGTTCAGATATGAATCCTATCGTATTTTATACACGATTTTGTATTCTATAGAAAACTAATGATAGAAATTTTATCACTATCTGTTGTATTCTATTGTATACAATAGAATACTATTCACATTTTGTAAATTCACGAACCAAAATCCATGTTCAAAACGATAGAAAATGATTATTTTATTCTATCGTTCTCTATAAACTTTTTTTACCAGGGTCTGTTATTTTATTTTCCATCGTATGTAATTATCTTTTTTTAAACTTCGCGTTCCTTCTTTTCACATTGTTACATATTTTAGTACATAAAACGCTATCTTTTATACGCTAAGAACTTTCTCTCATTACTGCAAAACGCACATATTCTCTTTAGTTCGTAATTGAGGTGAAAGATAATTACAAGTGATTCTCTTCCAAGTCGATTTATTATCCGTTAAATAGTTTATTTGACAAGAAACTTTCTTTTTATAAAAGGACTTTCGAGAAGTTTAGTATTAATAAAGATCTGCCTGACTCATCAATAAATCGTATTATTTAAAAATGAAACTGTGACTTGCTGTTGAGTATACTATTGAGTATATCATTCAAGAATTGAGTTTTTTCAATCTATCGTAGATATTCTTAACACTGAGTATTTAAGAGGATGCTAGAGTGGACGACAAAGCGTCGATAACGTAGAGGCGATCATCAAAAAGTAGAAAAAGTTATCATTATTTACGTTACTGATTTTATGTATACTAGAACAATACATGCGCGCGCTTCGCATGTAATAAAAAACAATAAAAAATGTAAAATAAAAATAAAATAAAAATTAAATTAAAATATACTTTAATTAATTAATAATTATAGGGAGAGACAGGGAGAGATAGGGAGAGACGGGGAGAGACAGGAGAGGCAGGAGAGACAGGGAAAGACAGAGAGAGACATATCTCTTTTGTATTTTTTTCGTGACCTAACCAACGCGACACACACACACACACACATACACACATATACATATATACATATACACATATATACATATACACATATATATATACACATATACATACATAAAATCAGTAACGTCAGTAAATAATGATAACGTTTTGACGATTACTTCTACGTTATCGATGCTTAGTGAGTTTGTCGTCTACTCTAACATTTCTTCAAAAATTATATAAAAGTTATGACTTATGTTAAAGAAAAGAAAGAAAACTCGAGAAATCCAACTTCAAAACGTAATACATATAACATCAAGACAATTTTGACGAAAATTACTTGTACTTATTAAAAACACTTGTATGGTAATTGGTAAATGAACATTCATTAGTTTCCTTAGGAGTAGCAAGAAGATCTAACTAGCTTACCACAGATGGATAAGTACGATTGATAGTGAAATGAAGATAGAGACGATGAATAGTCGGTCTTTTTCTCATTTTACAGGTTTAGCACGGATATAAACCAAACGACTTAACTGATAGAGTTAGAAAGTTAGTGTAATCAATGCGTTTTATATCAATTCCTTCGGAGAACTTATTAAATCTCATGATGGAATTCGTTTTGTTCGCTCCTTTTAAGTTCAGTTTTATCTTTAAATTTTAAATTTAACTTTTCTGTAACTCTCTTTACGCTAAAGAAATAGGGATTTCGAGTTTTTTAAACTATAATTATAGTTTTGGAATTTTTTAGTATCTAGATTCGTGAAATTAAATATTATTTATATTAAGAAAATGTATAACTAAAGTATAAACATATTAATGTTAACTTCGTTGTATTACCGACAGTGATCGACAAGTAACTCTACACAATATCGACTATGAGTAAGCTTGATTGGCTGTGGTTACATAGTAGATAATTAAAAAAAGAGCGGGCAGACGGCGAAAAATAGACGGAGTTTCTAATGCTCAAATATACAATATATTCATAAATAAGAAAAGAAGAAATTCTTTTGGTGTAGCGACTTTCAAGCTTCTCTTTAAGGCTACTTAACTCAGACTCAAACCGTAGTTAGCCAAGATCAAACCACATTTAGCTGAGACATAAACCCATTAAGTGTTCGAGTTTTTCGACGATATCATCCAGATGACTCTAAACGGGCCTTTTAATTATGTTTAAGAGAATCGGTATTTATTTTGTGATCTTTGGTCTGTTCTTTTCAGTTGCACTGCTGAACTAGTGCAATAAGTTAAAGTGAGACAAGTATATATTTTCTCACTCTAACTTATTGCACCAGTTCAGCAGCGCAGCTGAAAAGAATAGAGCAACTGCTAAATGGCACCAGACTTTTTATCAGTCATATTAAAACGATTTAACATTTCGTTGGCTGGAATCAAAAGAACTATTTCTTCTCTTTCTTTCAAACTAAATTTATTTTCCTGCAAAAAAATATATATTTCAGAAGTTCTTTCTGTAGGATATAAATCTTAACAACTATTTTTGAAAATATATCAGAGCTATCCAACAAACCAACTAGTTTTTCCAAATCTAAAATTTTCCTCACGTGCTTTGAGAACAACAAATTAGTCACTCTAAAATTCTTATTATGGTAACAATTATACTACTATAATGACTATACAACTACAGTAATGTATATTAATATGGCATACATTGTATATAATTTGTGTAAATATTGTAAAAATTATTGATATAGACACAGAAAAGAATTTGGTTGTATTAATAAAATATCCAGGGTGATGTAAACGAACCAGAGTGTCTAAACCAGAGTGACTGAAGTTACTAGAATTCTGTTTAAGTTAACAAAACTAAAACTTTCAATTGTCTCAAGTTGCACAGTTGCAAGTTTTGATTAATCAGAAATCTTGTTAATTTGAACAGGATTTTAGTAAATTTACCAGGAATTCTAGTTCTGTGAAGTGAGATAACTTCATAAAATGAGATATTCCTTTTCCCAGCTCGCATTGAAAAGTACATAGACACTAAAGCAACATGACATTTCACCGATTCACCGCGCCGAACTTTTGCCTCGATGCGGATCGCCGCGTTGCATTATTCGGCGCAGCGTGTTGCGTGGAGTGCATATCATGCTTTAAGCGTAACCACGCTCCTTTGGACGCGTACATAGTAATCACGGACGCTCGGTACATTTAAAATGTGATTAAAGCGGTTACGGATGAGAGTCGGCGCGCGATTGCGGCGCTGATAAAAGTCGCTGGGGAAACGGAGGCGAGGAAAGGTGATGAGATACGATTTATAATTGTCCGGCGTAAATGCAGAACGAAGTTGTACCGGGGTGTCTCGGACAGAGCTATTACCGCAATGCCGTGGCGGCTACGGAGAGGTCTTCTCTTGCGGGTTTAACCGCCCGAGCTCGACGACGATACACTGAGATTGCGGCTTCCTGAATGCAGCGGCGCTGCAACGCGAGAAAACGCGGAGGAATTGCACTCCCGGGTATTCGCCGGTCTCTAAGAGAGATATATACACAACTCGGTATAACAAAGAATGTTTGTTCCACGTGTGTAAAATTTGAAAATCTCCTCGCTTCGTCTCGGTTTTCCCACCTGATGGTAGGCTTCTTCTCGCCTGGCGACGCATGCTCGAAACTTTGTCTCGAGTTTGGCGAATCGCGGATCCAGGAGTCGCGTGAACGCAGTGAAAATGTATCGCAGACCACTTATTACTGAAGTCATAATTGAAATGTTGACCCGTTCATTAACATATTCCGGATTCTTTTAATTCAGCGTATAATTTGCGACAATTCTGGTCTGGTGCAATTTAGTGCGGCGGATTGAGGGACAGGGATGTTCTTTCTTAAACAAAGGCCCTTGCTTTGTGCTTGCGAAGAATTGTGCTGGCCAAACACAAGGTTAATTCAGCTGATAATATAAGCGCTTTTATGTGTAGCGGCAGACGTACCATTTTTATACATTTTTACACGCCAATTTTACGGTCTACTGAAGCGACCATGTATGACGCAGCCATGGCACCCCGGCCATTCTTCGGCCCGTCTTTCGTGGATTCGTGTAAAAATTCGTGTGTGGGAACGTCAAAACATTATTTAGCGCTCTGTTTTCAACAGTAAGACGATGAGAGATATGCGTTTTTATAAATTGTATTCAAGTTTTATTTTCGTTCGATTTTTTAATACTTTTGACAGGAGTATGCGAAGAAAATGCTGTTGAATTAATAGGTTTAATCAACAACGCTGTAATTGATGTACATTTTCTTTATTCCAAGTAAAATTACAGAAATTTATACTTAAGTTATTAAAACAGTATATGACGTATTATTGTCAATAATATTGCTATTGTATCAAGAAGATTTACTGCAATTATGGCAATTCTGTTGATACAACAGCGTTTTTTTCCGCATATTATTTGACTTAAATTTCGATATGTACTTTTGTGTAATTAGACTTTTATGCTTTATTTTTGTGTTTTTATTGATTAGGGTTCGGAAAAGGATCGAAACATCCGGGCTTATTTATCTTGACGATATTGATTGAAGAAAACAATTCTTTTGGATTGTTTTGTTATTGCACTAACTAAAATCCATGCAT